GACAAGCTTTACACTAGAATTTTATCCTAAAATTACAAAAGCCTAACACATGAATACATGTAGAGAATGGAAAATGATACACCTATAATCCTATTAGCACTGAGTCAAGGTCGCCAGGAAATATAGCATATATCAACTTTTCAAGTACCACATATGCCATAGTTAGGAAATAAGGTGTAAGGGGGACTCTAGGTGTATATAAAGATTTCTTCTGAGGCTAGATAATACTACTTTAATAAGTAGGAGGTTTTAAAGCACTTCCTACTTATTAAAACCTATTAAACAAGTATCAAGGGAAGTCCTGTTAATTCCTTGTCATCTTAAAGGGAAGTTTCCCCTGAAATTTAGGTTTGTACAGTGTCCTGGAAGAAATTTTTGTTGTGAGCCCCAGAGCAAAGAAATATTTTTGTAGCTGAAGAAAAAACAAACTAGTCAAAGCAAAAGCCACATCTTATTTCCAAAAATGTGTTGATTTTTCTCCTCTCCCTTCCTCTGACACTCACAACGCTGCTTTGTTTGAATAGCAGTCAGTGCCAAATTATACCAGAGGCTGACATGGAATTTAATGTTCTTGTGGTCACAACACCTTGCCCCTCTCTCTCCCACCCTGCTACACCCCATCCCCACCATGCCACCAAACTCAGCTCACTTTAGTTCAAATGTAGGTATGGGTTTGAGTCCAAACCCAGATAAAAGAGGAATCTAATCACATCTAAGGCAATATAAGAAGTAATTCTCGAGTTTAGAAGATAAATTTATTCTTTAAAGTATTAATAATGAAGACTGTAACATTGACCACTGGCTATGTGCCAACCACAGTTGCTAAGCACTCAACACGTGTCACAACATGTATACATCATAAAAGCCATTATTGTGATGTCAGACTATTACTGGCAGCAATTTACAGGTGAACAGGTTCAGAGAGGCTCAGTACCTTGCTTAGAACTAAGCCCTGCCAACTTCTATTTCCATCAGAAACAGGACTCACTCTGTAATAAGACATGGCTGCCATTGTACAAACAGCTGTCTTGGCTGGGAATAACCCTATCAAAGACTGCTCTACTCAGACATTTAGCCAAGAACAAGGGCTCTTTGGAGTCCTTGAAATATAAGAACTTCAATCATTTCCCTAATTTTGCCTTGTATTTGGTGTTTTTTATTGAGTTTTATTTTTGCCTTCACTCCAGTAGCCCAAACACCTAAAAAGTTACCCTTCTGTTTCCAGTGTGGCGTGTAGAGAGTTCAGTACTTTTTCTGGTTCAATCTCTTAGTTTCTCCCTCTTTCTGATTAAAAAAAGACATGTTTGGTACTGAAAATGTGGGAAACAAGGAGAATATTTCCTTAACTATTGTTGCTGTTTGTTTTACATTAAATATTTATTAAGAATTTTTGTATCTTCCTTATTAACTTCCTACAAACTTGAGGATTAGTTTTACTTGTTTTTCTTTGGCATTTAAACTATGCTTCCCCCAGCAAACATTATAACAACTTATTTACTACTGCTTTTCCAATGTTAAATAGACACATTAAAATTATCTCCCCAATAAACAAGACATTCCTATTCCCTTTCCACCCTCCAACCTTACTCAAAATTTCTGGCCCCTACTTAAGTACCTAAGGCTAAACTCAACCCCAACTGAGAGAGATCATCCTTCCTCCACCCACAATACAAATCCCCATTCCCCCACCACTGCACATCCTACTTCCCACCTTTCCTCACTCCCAACCCCATCCCATCTTCCTTCACCTCCCATCTCCCACTACCCCTACACCTCCTCTCACCCCTTCATCAGCCCACACACATACCTCTCTCTAACATCAGTACCCAGTCTGACCACTCACATTAACTCAAACACTTAGCTACTGCAATACCTGGTACTTTTCTTCTCTACTTACCTATTATATGCCCTGCTGCCTACATGCTCGGAAACTACTTGAAGAGCCAATGTGGCAGGCTTGCGCGCCCCCTTTTATACTCTCCCCAACACCCTAGGTCACAATGCTCAATTGATGACCTCATTTGGTGGGCAGCCAATCCCTGTTGAGCTCACTGGTCAGAGCTGGTCTGTGAGGTTAATCCCTTAGTATTGACTCAAGATTTGGTTAATTAAATTAAATTTAAAAAATTAAATGTCTAAGCCATCCCAGTATTACACTGTCACAAAACAGAAAAATTAAGTTGAACTTCTGCATAATGTCTTGGAAACTACACTCTTAGAATCCAGTAAAAAGAATACATCTTATCTCTTATTTACATAATGAGCTTTATCATTTTTATTTTCTAATACCTTTTCTAGAATCCCTTCAATTACCTTTGTCTAAGTGCCTATCATAACATTTTAAAGCACCTCCTATTTATTAAAACCTCATTTTACATTACTTCCACCAGATAAATATCATTTAAACACATAATTCAAACATCATCATTTAAATAAATAATTCATATGTACAGTTTTAAAAATTAGTTTCCTAAATAGGAATATCTTTTATTTCTATTGTCTCTTACATAGTCTCATTATTTCTTCTCTGAAATTCTTTTTTGTGTCTAGTTTTCATTCATTGTTTTTACATTCACTCCTTTCAGATTCTCCATGAACCCTTTCTTCCTTTTTTAGTCATGATCTTACCTTCTTCAAAAAAGCTCATAATATACAACTTGGGACACATAGAAATGAGAAATACCTTTAAATAGTATTGAAATTCACAATTCGGGTTAATTTTCATTAGTTCTTTTTCTAAGAAAGTTGTTTCTAGTCTAGCCTATTAAGCTTTGCTGAAATCTCAACTGGGCAAGTCAGTTACTAAATCTAATTTTTCTTAAGACAATTCCTTGCCTGGCTGGTGTGGCTGAGTGTCAACCTACAAACCAAGAGGTCATGGCTCTATTCCGAGTCTGTGCACATGCCTGAGTTGCAATCTTGATCCTCAGTGGGGCTGTGTATGACGCAGCTGATCAATGATTCTCTCTCATCATTAATGTTTTTATGTCTCTCTCCCTCTCCTTTCTTCTCTAAAATCAATACAAAATTATTTTTTTAAAAACAGTATCATTAATTCTGAGAGGCTTCATATTAAAATTTTGAAATTGAGAATGATACTGAACTTTAAGAACTTTGAAAAATTTATTATATTTTTCAGTGTTATTTTCTTTGTCTTATCTTCCCAACCAAATCATATGGACAGATGTTTAATTTAACTTTATATCCTTAAAGTCTCTAACAGTATTATTCACACAGAGTAGGTGCTGAAGAAATGTTGTGTGTGTGTGTGTGTGTGTGTGTTTGTTTTTTAATTAACCCTGCCTGTTTTGGGTAAGCTCTTTATATATATATATATATATATATATATATATATATATATATATTTATATTTATATTTATATTTATATTTATATTTATATATATAATTTTTTTTTGCTTCACAGAATGCTGTCTCTCTTCTCTCATTTATCCCCTTACTCTGTTCTCCCTATGATTTCCATATTCTTCCCCCTTCACTTTCTTCTTTAAACTTTCTCTGCCACCCCTCTGTCTTTCCCCTCCAGCTCCAAATGGGATATGAGGACTTATGCAGCATCCTCATCCTAGTGTATGCTAGGCTCTGTGTTTGGTGCTAGGGAAATGAAGACTAAATACTCACAATCTAATAGGGGACAAAGTACAGCTGACATGAACAGACTAGTATAGTAAGTAACAAGTATTGTCATAGATAAACAATAAGTGTGATAAATCCTATAACTGAGACATATACAAAGTGATGTTATAAAAAGGAAGGTGAAGTAAACCATATCTGGCTGAGGTGGGCTGAGGGCAACTTCTGAGCAGCAAAGAGGGATAAGACTTGCACAGACCAGGAAAGGAGGGAAAAGAATACAAGGTAGAGTAAATGTGGCTGTATAAAGGCACTAAGGTGTGAAAGGGAGAGCAAGAAGTTCAGTGTGTCCAGAATGAGAAGTCATGGGGTAAATGTTTAAAACTAATCTGAGGACATAGGTAGGGTTTGCTTGTGCAGGATTCGGTATGCTCTGCTAAGGAGTTTGACTGTGCTCTTTGCCAAGATGAAGACAGTGAAAGGCTTTTTTGTTTGTTTGTATTTTAGAAAGAAAACAACCCTCTGTGTCTCCCCCCCCCCCTCTCTCTCTCTCTCTCTCTCTCTCTCTCTCACACACACACACACACACACTTAATAGATTCACTATTTTCTAACACATGTGCTTAATACCATTATCACTGTTGAACACATGGGAGACACTTAATTCATATTTATGATTGATGGATTGGAAATTAAATAAGCTTGTTACTGAACTTTTTGTTATCATGGCTGAAAAGAAGTTACCAGTTTGTTTGCACACACAAGGAAGAAACCCTTTCTATAGCAGTTAAAATATTTCTACTATGACCACTGATTTTTCAAGGATGGAAATGTCAAGTCTGAGGTGACAGAGAATGTAAGGAGTTGGCCTGCACTGTAGTAGAATACTCTCACTATCAGATACTAAAAAGAAATCTTGCTTAGTGAATAGAAACATAGTTCTCCATCAGAAGACACTGAGAAACAGCTTAAGAATGGCTACAACCTTGCCATGCACAAGACATCTAGATTAACTTAAACAACCTTCAGCTAAAGCTTCTCTAAGCATGCTTTCCCTCCACTCATTACAGAAAATCAGTCTTTATTCTTCAGCCAAGAAGTGCATGGTAATTTTTGTAAACAACATAATCTTATCAGAAACTGAAGTCCATAGAAGTTAAGTAATCAGTGCTAGGGTTTAAAAGTGTGTCTAACCCTGGTATGTGGCAAGGCAGCTAGGAGTAAGGAGTACTAAGGAACTACAGAGAAATATCCAAGGAATGTTACAGCCAGCTATGCTCTTCTTCAAATTTGAGAAATTCCTTTTCATTCAACCTTGATGTGATGCTGAGTCATAAAAAGACACTATCTCCAGTACGCCACATCTCTAGGGAGGCCCTTTAGCCAGCCTCTGTTAGTCATTACTATAAGCACAGGCATTGGGCCAGCACCATTCACACTTTCCCCTGTTCTGCAGCAGACTGAGTTCCTCTAATCCTTGTGTTCCTTCCCTCCAACCTCTCTAAAACCCTTCTCTGAGGGAGAAATAGCTATAGCTTGGGGCTAATATTGCTTTAAGGAAACTTTTGGCAGATGCGGATGTCCTAACATCTGGGCAGTTTTAACAGAATCCCGGAGGCTCGGACAGACCGGGAGCTACTCGTTCTAGGAATGTTAAATTAGAAGTTTTTTAAACTGATGAGAGAAGCAGAAAGGAAGGAGAAAGAGAAGGAGGAGAGAAAAGGACAGCACAAAAATCCATAACACAGGTAAGATCTGCTGCTTAACCCCTCTATACTACACTACTCCCACTTTACAACCATGGGGGGTACCGGTAACAAGATCCATGACTTGGGCAACATGGCTGGGAGTGGAGGGGAAGAAAGCAGTTCTTTTATGAAACTGAATCATATGCTGTTTTTCATTTGAGCTGTGACCTGGCTGCAGATACAGGTTCCCACCACCTTCCTGATGCTCAGCAGAGGGAAGGCTGACTCCAGAGAGTCAGATTCTCAGTCTGAAATTCTGCAGGAGGTGGGCAGGAAAGCAGTCATAGTCTCAGAGCATCGGTTCTGGAAAGGAAAGCCCTTCTTGCTCCTGAACTAAGGAATTGGATTGAGGCTGCATGTGGGAGGCGGGTTCAGGGATTAGTTTATCTAGCTGTTCATGTTCCCAAATTTCTTTAAACTCCTCTTTCTCCTTTGGTTCCCTTTTTCTGATTTTATCTCTTTCCTTCAGCTCTGGCAGATTACTTTTCTTTCTAATTTCTTTCTCACATCTTTCCACTTTCCCTGCCTCCCTCACTTGCTCTCATTTTTGCTCTATTCCACTTCCTTGCCACTGTCTAGACAAAGTCTAAAGTCAAATAGCAATAAATTGGAAAATGAATTCATGCTATTCCTGGACTTCTTGTGTCCGTTAGGGACTCTGTCTAGAATCTGTCATCTTTTTGTGTTTCAGTTTCTGGGACTGACTCTTTCCCTGACCATGGCATTTCATTGAAAGTATGTGGGTGAATGATTGTTTACTGAAAAGCCCAGTGGCCAGTTTATACCAATGGGCAGCAAGTTTTAATACTGTGATTTAAGAGGTATTTGCCTACTGGGAACCACAGAACTCTAATCCCATCAGAGTGAGAACAGGACAGAAAATGAGAGGGCAATTGGAGCTTGCTCACCCTCTCCTCACGTACCACAGTAGGTTCTTCTCAACCTCACTTCCTGCTGGCTCAGCGGGTAAAGCTAGAAGTTTAGACTAGAATTGAAAGCTGGAAGCCACTACCAAACCTCTAAGCTTCAAAAACCAAAGCTAAGAACATAGGGTACATTTACTAACTAAAGTTAGGAGACATTCAGTCCTGTCCAATACCAAGTTGGTAATAATAACTAATATATAATGATTGATTCCCTATGTTCCAGGGGAAATTTTCTCTATAAGGTAGATATGAACAACAGTGTGGTGATGCCACTTGTGGGGGAGAGGAAGGTGAAAGAGGGTATAGGGGGAATAAAAGGTGATGGAAGGAGACTTGACTTGGGGTGGTAAACACACAATATAGTGTACAGATGACATGTTGTAGAATTGTGCACCTGAAATCTGTATAATTTTGTTAAGGCCACCCTTATAAATTCAATAAAAAGGAAAAAAAATAATAATCTGGGAAAGAAGGTAGATACTATTATTTTCTTATTTTATAAATGAGAAAACTGAGACTCAGAGAAGTTAAAGAATTTGCCCATATCCCCATACCTTACAGGGACAGAATTGGATACATATTCAGATCTATATAACTCTAGTGTTCAAGCTCAGTCCATACAGGCTAATGCTTTCCCAGATTAGTGGTTAAGGAAATACCAGCTAAATTGATAAAATCATCAACTGGCAGCCTTTAGATCACAGGATTCCATCTTGATTCTACATGACTTTATGTTGGCCTTTTCCTGGTATTGGTACCTCAGTGTTCCTCACTATAACTTGTACCATGCAGTATTTGCATCCTATCTCACCAAGGTCAATTGAAAATTGATTATTTATATGTCCTTCTTCTGTGAAGGAAAAAAGACCATAAATAACAAATAGAGTCTTGCTATTCTACAAAGTGGAAGATCCTTACAAAAGGGAGAAGATAAAATAGGCATTCTTTAATTTAAAAATCTCTCTTCTTCCTCACAGATCGCACATTTCTGCTTCCTCTCACTTTTGGAAGTTCATTGATGGCCGATTTGTGAAAGTTACTTTCCGTTGTTCTGGTACTTCTGGCCACCTACTCCTATTCTTGTCTCCCTAACCATCCCTACCCCTTCAAAGGATGGCCGGTAAAATAATTCAAAGAGGAGCTCTCTCTCTGCTGCTCTTCCTGGCTCCAGCAGTGACACCAACATGGTTAGCAGGTAAGTTCTAGGAGCTGTGGCCCATTATCTCCAGGGAAGGTGGGGCCTGGACCAAGTCTTGGAGAAAGGAAGAGTTAGACTACAATGAGAGATACTTAAATTAGATACCAAGAACTATTCTTAACAACAAAGATCGTTAAACATTGTATTAGGCCACTAAGGGAGACCTTGAGACAAACTAAGAGATATTTGAAAACAAGCTATGCCCTAGAGGATTTTGCTTAGTGGATAAAGTGCTGGTCCATAGACTGAAGGGTCCTGGGTTCAATTCCTGTCAAGGGCACGTACCTCGGTTGCAGGCTTGATTCCCAGCCCTGGTAGGGGCACATGGGGGAGGCAACTAATCGATGTGTCTCTCTCACATCAATGTTTCTCTCTGTGTTTCTCTTCCCCTCCCTTCCACTCTCTCTAAAAAAAATATTAATGGAAAAAATATACTCAGGTGAGGATTAACAACATGAGAAGGTTGGACTACATGGCTTTTGAATTCCTTATCTCACCTGCTTCACTTGCCTCTGCACTTAGCTTTCTCCCTCCCTCCTTCCCTCCTTCTCTCTTTCCCTCCCCCTCCCTCTCACCCCAGACTGTATTTATAGGATGAGATTTTTAAAGCCCCTTTCTGCTAATGCTTTTAATGACAATAGAAATCACTTTCTCTTAAACAGGAATTCCCTAATTTCTTCTGGCTTGTTCCTTACTTCAGAAGGGATGAACAGTTCTGGATTCCTGAATGTTTCATCCTTTGCCCCTGGAAACATAGGGAGCTGAAGAGAACAGACTCAGTGAGGAGAGGGGGAAGGGGAGTAGGAAGAATGATGAGAGGATAATGAGGGGGCAGACAGAGGTTTTTGATTTGGTCCAGCTGGCATTCCAAATGCTAAGAATATTCTGTGGTCTGCAGTGTCTGCCCTCATTGGGGGCTGAGGGGGGAGTAGGGTAAGGAGACAGACCCAACCAATGGAATTAGGAAAATATCCAGAGATGAGTAAATAACAAACTGCTTCCATCACAACCACAGTCATTGCAGCTAAAATTTTCCACATGCCCTGGGTTCCTGGTGGAGGACTTTGGCAATAGCTCTGTTTGTCTGGAACAGCTGCATGAAGCTTTCAAACAAATATGCAAACTTCTTGTCCTCTTTGGCTTAACCTAGCTTTGTAGGGGGTGAAACACAAGGGATGTCATTGAGATGAAGAAATTCAAGTCCAGCCCTTGGCAGAGTACATACTGTTTGGAGTTAAAGGAGCCATCTACCCCAACCTTCCAAAGCTTCAGTTCAAGTATATAACACCAAAATCCATCCAAAGACCATAGGACCTAATGGAGTGGAGATTAGATGCCTTAAAGCCCAATTTTGAATACCTATAAGAAACCTCATGGAATACAAAGGCCTTCACCTTTATTAAGATGAAGCCTGGGCTATTGGAGTCTTGAGGAGAGGGCAGTTTTATTTTAAAACTTATATCCATTTGAAGTTCTCAAAGGGCTGTTTGCAAAGGTGGCACTCCCACTTGCACAAGAATCACCAAGGTCACCACTCATTCTGAGGAGCCCAGGCTGGGAAATCTCTTACAGCCCTGCAAACCCACTCATTCTTCCCTGTTCTGTTTTAGGAGACTAAATGATGAAAGAAATTTGGAAATTTTCCAATGATTTTTCTGCAAATTGCTAGCTCAGCTGTCTGAGCTTGTTCCACTCATTTATTCATGCATTCACTATACATACTGACTTCTCTATATGAATCCAGCACTGTTTTGTTCCCAGCTATAGCTTTTTTTCTCACATGGGAATGGCACAAGAAAAGCAGGGATAATCAGTAAAAGGACCCAGGAATAATCAGCAGAGGTTGGGAATGGTTAAGAATATAAATAAAGCAAATAGTGGGTTAGAAGTGTATATTGGCATATCTATGCAGTTCAGAAAGTCAGAGCATATTTGCTATTATAAGCCAAACAATAGTGTGGATCTGAAATATCAGTTACTTTTCCAACCATACCTTTGTAAAGGGCAGTGCTTAGAGCAGCTGACTTTACTATGGAACCCAGGTATAGACCTCACAGTAACCACTGAGGAATGCTGCCCAAATCTCTCTACCCAAGGGCTGAAGAGGGACAAGCAGATATAACAATGCAGAAAAAGGTACCCTTCTAGTTTCTTATATCTCATCTCAGTATCCTAATATTCATAGAAAATACCCAAAAACAGGCAGAGAGGGGAAATGGAAAGGGTTAAAGTAGTAAGGTGATTGCCATCACAAAGCAAATTTGGCACTGGTGCAGCTACCTCTGCACCCTGGTGGAGACTATAATTATCTGACTGAGTCTTCCCTCAGCTTTCCCACATCCCCTGTAATTCTAGAATGATGTAAAATACTTGTTGGCTTTACATCCCACACACACAGAGTAAAAAAAGCTAGATTGCAAAAAAGATTTCGGATTTTTAGCCCTGCTGGACATTGTTCAAAGTTTTCCCCAACTGCCATGTTTAGTGGGGTGTCTGAGTTTGGTATTGAGAGGGTCAAACATCCCTGGGCTGGAATGTCCACTCTACTTCTTACTATCTGGGAAACTTGAGCTACTCCTTCACTTCTCTGAACCTATTTCCTCATCTATACATTAGAGAGAAATAAGAGTGTCAATTTCACTGAGATGTTAGGATGGCATAATGAGATAATACATGTAAACACAGAACATGTGATGAGTGATGTTTAGCAGTCATTGTTGTTATCCAGCCAAAAGCCTCTGTCATTCCTGTTTGCTCTTCTGGTAAACAGACTTGCTCCCTGATGGCCATTTTCTTGCAAGCGAGATCTGGAACAGGAGTGTGGGGCCTGATCCTTTAGGGAATCACACACATCTGGCCTCCTGTTTACAGGAGCTGTAAGGCTTTGAGGCTAATGCTAAACTGAAACAGTTTAGCATTTTTGAGTTTTTTGCCCTCCAGGAAGAAACCTCCCATGTTGGAAAAACAAGAGCAAGCCTGGGGAGAAATAAAGGGAAGCCACGAGAACTGAAGTGGGAAAATATAAAAAGTCAAGGGAAAGAGAAAAAAAATGTAGTCTTTCCTCTGGAATGAGGGTAAAACCAACGAGGACATGATTTCATAAGGCAAATTTTCTATTTGATTCATTCCCTTCCTTTATTCATCAAGTTGGACTGGTTTCCCAATACCCTCCACCCCCAGTCTGTGGGGAATGGATGACCTTCATCATCTAGCCATCGGCTCCACCCTTTTGTGTTGGGGGCCCTTAGCTTCTTCCCAGAGAGGAGGCAGGCACTTTGTGGTCTGGATGTTTACACAGGCCAAAGTGCTCCAGAACTAAAACCCAGCCCTGTCCAGGAAGCACAACCTTTCCTGGAAGTGAGGAATTGTCTTCTGACTCCAGCATGGCTGGCTGCTGTATTCCTGTGCATGCAATTGGGCTCAGGGAAGCTGGAAGGAGCACTTCCTGAAACTTCACTCCGGAAAGCACCAAGTTGTATTCCAATTAGTTTGTGTTCATGACTGATTTCCTGCCGTCTAGTGGAACACACTGTTTAGTCTCCCAGACAGCCGCAGACCTGCCTGTACCAGAGACTGGGCCACTTAACGGAATGGGGGTAGACTGGAAATATTTGCCAGCTCATCAGCTCCCTGTTAAACTCCTGCTGATTAGAGGAACCAGAAAGGACTCTGTTTGCTTTTTCCTCTAAACCAGGACAAACCACTCAGGACATAAAACTATTTTCATTTCCCCTTGCCCTTTGAGCCCTCTCTCTTTGTCTTGGCATGCCAGCCTTAGCAACAGCAACCAGGTGGCAAAAGGCTGGTGTCCTGTGGGCTAGTGGGAGCTTGAGGAATCACATCCTTCTGAGGACTGTGAGCAGGCTTGTCACAAGTGGAAAGACCCTTACTCAGGCTCTATTTTTTCCTCCTATCTGTGACAGCTGTCCAACCTCAGAGCTTGGTTATTAGTGACTCACCAAGGAAATGGGTCATTGATAGCCCAGACTGGTGGGATTGATTGATGATCAAGATATTTGGCTTTTTTTTTATTTTGAATGGAGGCTTTTAGTGCCACCAGTAATCCCCTCCCCACCCCATTTGCTCCTCCTTTATGCACCTAAGGTATTGAGGTTTACCCACAATAGTTCTGCTGTTTTACAAGGAAGAATTTTCCCCACTAAATATCCACGTGGTTTGCCACCCCTATATGGAGTGCCCTGTCCTCAGAAGAGACCAAGTTGAAAGGAGGAATGGTTCAGAAGGACTTGAGTGAGAAATCAGTATGTCATATTAATATTGTCTTATTCATTCTAGGTTCAGGCTACTACCCAGATGAAAGCTACAATGAAGTATATGCTGAAGAAGTCCCACAGGTCCCTGCCCTAGACTACCGAGGTAATACTCTGCTTCTCAGGCTCAGAAAAGGTTTTTTCTAGCCTAAGGCTTACGCCCTCCCTGAAGCATCCTCATCCAATTTGGCTTATATGTGCCAAAACTGAAGCTCAGTGAATTAGAGGCTATGATTTCCAGTCATGAACTTGGTTACTGACTTGTTGTTTGATCTCACCTCTCTAGCACTAAGGTTTCCCATCTATTTTTAGCCATTAAATATGGAGTGGGTACTCCTGTAAACCTAGGCCTGTGCAAGGTAAGCCTGTGGATGATACAAAAATTTGCACCCACCAAGAAGTTTACGTTCTGCTGGGGGAAGGATTAGTGAGGAGGCAATAGAATTAGCACATGTAGAAAAAGTGTGAAGCTATGTGGTAGCAGAAAATGCAATAGATGTTAAGAAAAAGAAGTCAGGGAAAGAGTCATGAACGATAACATTTAGACTATATCTTGAATAATGGGTGGATTTTGAGAACTGGAAAGTAGAGGGGAGGGCGTTCAGACAAGTAGATGGCCACTGATATAGAGGTATGAACAAACCCACTTATATAGAGGAAGGAGCTAGGAATAAACCAGCCTGATTTGAGGAGATGGGATATGGAAGAAGTAATAGAAAATAAAGTTGAATATAATAGACTGAGACCAAATTAGGAAAGGCTCCATAATCTACAAGACTCTTCTAAGGAGGAGCAGAGGACTGCCTGTGACAAATCCTGAATTCCTATACTAGAAAGAAAATTAGACCAGGTACTACCTTCCACTTTCCCTGAGGATCATTTCAGGACTGGGCAAGCCGGTAACTCTGCCAGCATTATCTGGAGATAATTACAGAGAAGGCCCTTTTAACCCTGTTGTAAGCACTTCGTTTCCTTTATTATCTCTGAAAAGTGATAGGTGAATAGTTGCATAGATCAGAGGCCGTGGGCCTGAGCTCAAGTTCCAGCTACTCCACTTTCCAGCTCTTTGACCCCAAACACCTTTATATGCCAGCCACTGTGCTCTGTATTTTATAAATGTTATTTCATTTAAGTAAGGTGCATGCTTGTAGTGATACAGGAAGATCTCAAACATTTTAAGTTTGGTTTAGAAAAGCATTGGAACAGTGGGCATACTGCACTACTCTAAATGTTAAAAAGGAGGAAAAACATAAGAATATGTAGTAATACTTGCTTTAGGTACTTGATGTGCATATACTATTAACAGTGGTTCTTTATGGGGGGACCAAGTGGCAGTATGTGTTGGAACAGGGGTGGGAGAGGGACTTTACCCTGTAACATTTCATACTTGTTGGATTTTGAACCATGTGGCTATATTACCTATTCAAAAATGTAAATGCATACTTCAAAATAAATGCACACTTCAAAATAAAAACCTAGCATACTTACAGTGGCAGATAATAGAGTTAGAAAATATTGGTTTTAGAGATAGTCAAAGCTTGGGTTAAAAATCTCTGCTCCTTACTTGCTTGGGAACTATGGGCAAGTTAGTTCCTCACCTGCAAGATAAGGCTTTTGGGAGAACTATTTGAGATAATGGATGTAAAGTGAAAATATAAATCATGGTGCCTACTGCACAGTAGCTACTCAGTAATAACTAACACATTTCCTGCAAGAAATTTTCACCATGCCATAATTAGCATTCTTTGGGTACAGTTGTTCAGCCAGTTGTGAATCTACATAACTGTACTGTCATCTCTGCTATATTTCTGTATCTCATCCACATGAAGGGCACTATCATATGCCTCACTGACTTCCACATAGTGTATCCACTAATTTCCCCTGCTCTACCAGTCTGGTGACTCTAATCAAAAAGGAAATGAGGTCAATCTTGAATGACTTGTTCTTGAGGACACCTGGAGATCAGCACTTCTCTTTTTAACTGCTCATAAGCCTGTATTTAAATACTATGCTATCAGTGCTGTCAATCTTACCAGGCTATAGTTTCCAGAGGCTGTATTCTTCTTCCTTTGGGAATCTAATGTGCAGCATGGTGACTATAGTTCATGTATGGTGCCAGGTGAGTACTAAATTTTATGAAGGGGATCATTTCATAAATTATATAAATGTCTAACCACTATGCTGCATATCTAAACTAATATAAAATAACATTTAATGTCAACTGTAATTGAAAAAAAAACTTACATTGTACACCTTAGACATATACAGTTTGTTTGTCAATTATACCTCAAATAATTCTGGGTGGAAAAAGAAAATTGGGATAATGTTTTTGTTCTTTTCCAGCTTCCCACTATATTTTCTTTATACCAGGATTCCTATGAACCTACAAATTTGAACTTATTTAGCTCTATATTTCCTTTTACTAAATTTGCTTATTCTATCTCTTCCAATGTGATGTGCATTTTTATTGACAGAATGCTGGAGAGAAATAGGACAGGAGTGATTGTTGAGGCCCCAGCCTCCCATATAAAGTCTTTGTGATATGTGTTGTGATCACATAATTAACAGCTCTGCAACTGTAGTGCTTCCAATTTTATGTAATTTGGAGATGGTGTCTCCAGATGGCAGCCTTGTGTCACAGCCACAGGCACAAAACTAATGCTGAAAGCCACAAGTGTGTTTTTGCTTGAAGGATAACTTTCTTATTGTCATCTGTCTTCATTCTATAGCTGCCTTCAAGCAGAGGCACCAACCTTTCTTTTTTCCTTTAACTCCTAATGCACTTTTATTCAAATTCCCCTGTTTTTGTCCCTTAGGATTTGGGGATTGAATGAGCTCATATGGGGCTTTAGCCTTCCTGACTTGAGACTAACAGACCTATGTCATACTGTGTATGTATCCTTGGACAGGTGGCCCTCTGCCTGTTTATAGGTGCTCCTTTAAAATCGAAACCCGCTGAAGAGTCATTCCTATTGTGTAGCCAATGAGACGACTTTATGATCCTTTTATGAGTTAACTAGAGGCCCGGTGCATGAAATTCATGCAAGGGGTTAGGCCCTCGCAGCCCCAGCTTCATCTGGAAAGTTGCCCAGAAGGATGTCTGGAAGGTTGTTCGGCTGACCAATCTAATTATCATATTACACTTTTATTATTATAGATGGCCCTATTACCTTTTGTTCTCAGTATTGACCTGGGATTGGACTTTCATTCTTAAGCAGCCTTGTTTGATATTGCATTCCCTTCCTCTCTCTAGCTTCCATATTTGTATTATTTAAAAAATTATTTTAAATTTACCTACTGTGAAATTCACTCTTTTTGGTGCAGAGTTCTGTGAGTTTTGACAAGTGCATAGTCATGTAACCACCACCACCATACCAAACAGCTTCATCACATCAAGAACTTGCCCGAGGCTGCCTCTTTGAGGTTATCCCGGACCTCAACCATTCGCCCACAGAACATTTGAATTTTTGCCAGCTTTGCCCATTATGAATAGAGGTATTTTAAAATATTTGTAAACTGGATTTTGTATGAACACAGGTTTTCATTTAATAACTAAAGTGGGATTGCAGAGTTGCATGGCAAGTGTATGTTTACTTTTATAAGAAACTACCAAAATATTTTTCAAAGTGGCTATCTCATTTCCAGTTTCTCTCCATCCTCACCAACACTTGGTTTTGCCAGTTTTGTTTTTTTTTGTTTTGTTTTGTTTTGTTTTTCTTTTAAGTTTAGATATCCTAATGGGCACATAATGGTATCGTGCTGTGCTTCTAATTTGCATTTCTCTAATGACTTACAATGTTGACCATCTTTTCATGTACTTATTTTCCATCAGTATATCCTCTTTAGTGATATATCTGTTTATGTCTTTTGTCCATGCTCTAATGAATTGTTTGCTTTTTTCCTTTTGAGTTTTCAGAGTTCCTTATATATTCTAGATACCAGTCCTTAGTTGAATGTGTGGTTTGCAGATATTTCTCCAAGTTTGTGGTTTATCTTTTATCTATTAACAATGCTTTTCATAATACAAAAGTTTTTAATTTTGACAATGTTTAATTTATTCTTTTTTTTCTTATATTAATTGTGCTTTTGCATGTCTAAGACCTCTTAGCTCTAGATCCCAGAAATTTTGCCATTGTTGTTTTTTTTTTACATTTTATAATTTTACTTTTTAGATTTAAATTTATGATCCATTTTGAATTATTTTTATATAAGTTATGAGATTTAGATTGAGGTTCTTTTCTCTTCTCCTCCTCCTCCTCCTCCTCCTCCTCCTCCTCCTCCTCCTGCTCCTCCTCCTCCTCCTCCTCCTCCTCCTCTTTCTCTTCCTTCTCCTCCTCCTCCTCCTTATCTATAGAAGTTCAATATTGCTCCAGCAACACTTATTTTAATGGTTTTCTTCCCTCCATTGAATTGCTTTTGAATCTTTGTCAAAAATTATTTCAACATACTTGTGTGGGTCTATTTGCTGTTCTATTGATCTATGTGTCTGTCTTTTCACCAATACACTGTCTTAATTATTGTACTTCAGCTTACAGCTTTTCTTCTATTGTTACAGTCCCCCGATGGTGTTATACATTAAATATCCAAGACGGAGAAGCCACATGCTATTCACCAAGGGGAGGGAATTATCACAGCAGCTTGGGCACTCGTTGTGAGCTCTCTTGTGACCGGGGCTTTCGACTGATCGGACGAAGGTCGGTGCAATGCTTGCCAAGCCGCCGCTGGTCTGGAACTGCCTATTGCAGACGTAAGTGGTGCAGATGCTGATGTGTATATATGAGAGAGGCCAGCCATCCAGCCATTGAGTGTATATGCCTGGAGGTGTTACTATGCTTCTGTCAAGTGAAATTTAGGAATTTTTCACAGGCACCCAAAATGGCCTTTCTCCATCCTAACATTTTAGCTCATTTTCTCTCCCTGTGTTTATTGCCCAATTAATATGAACATTTAAACAGCAACCAGCTCTCCTGGTTTGGGAGGCCAAGGAGTGGATGTAAGACTTGGGCCTGGGGCTTATGTGAACCTATGCCTTCTTTTGGCACTCTCAAGGATGTGTGTTCTCAGACTTTCCCACACTGCTATACTTCCTGGCCTAAGGCCTTAGGAGGCCTTGGCAGTGAAGTTATGAGACATCTGTTATTCTTCATTTTCTTTGGAAAGCCACAAAGAATCCTTAGTCTAGCATGTAGGGGTGCTAATAGACACACATTCCAAACCATGTCCCTCTCAGCTCCCAAATCTCTATCTTTTTCCAGTTCTACAGGCTACTTTTTTTTTTTTTTTTTTTTTTTTTTTAGCAACTGAGCTGTCTGTCTATATGTTTATCTCTGAATGCCATTTGTAGGACACCCATGTGTCCTTGAAATCAGGGCCATGTATTGGTTGTTTCAGGAGCTTACTCAATTCTCAATTCCTCCCAAGCAGATTATAGACTAATGAATAGAAACACAAATATGTGCACATAAAGGCAGTGTGACCAGACACATAATGCTGAGCATTCAGAGAGAATTGGGTTAGTCAGAAAAGATGTTGTGGAGAAGAAAAAAATTTTTTAAAAATATATTTTATTGATTTTCCACAGAGAGGAAGGGAGAGGGGTAGAGAGCTAGAAACTTCAATGAGAGAGAAACATCGACCAGCTGCCTCCTGCACATCTCCTACCGGGGATGTGCCGGCAACCAATGTACATGCCCTTGACCGGGATCGAACTTGAGACCTTCCAGTCCGAAGACCAATGCTCTATCCACTGAGCCAAGAAAGTTTTATAGTCAGGAATAAGGACACCACTACACCCCTTTAGATGACTGTAATTAATTTTTTAAGACTTGGATGCCATTGTTTCCAAAATAAATTAGAATTAGTCTCACAAAATAAAATAATATGTCTATAAATGAATATAAAACCAGTTAAAAGAAAGGAGATGTACATATTTCCAAGTGCCTAGAATGACTTAATTACTATATTTGAAGAGTGAATCTGACTTTGCCCTTTCTCATAAGTGACAAAAGGGCAAACACTTTGGATGTATCATTTTCACTGTTATATAATACTAAGAAAACAAATTCATCTGCAAAGACAAACTTTTTTTTTCTTGGCCCTGATTTCAAGGAAGTAATTTTTGCATGCAGGATACTATTGATAAAAAACATAAAAGACAATAATCTTCAAGTCTGGTTTGATCAAGAACAAAAATGAACATAGCTTATAGAGTGTTTATGGAAAGCTTCAGTAATTGAATTTATGCAGGGTTAGAACTTAGAAATATAAAGGAATGTGTGGCTTGTTTCAAGTATCAGGTATTTCAAGCTAGACTTTGGTAAGCATAGGCTCACAAGCAACTAATGGTAGCAGTCTCCACTTCTGGTCCATGTGATATCTAAAGCATATGGATTCCCCTTTAGCCAAAGTTGGCCCTCCAGGCACTGGCCTGACCTGTATTTTCCCCAAGTGAGAGGGCCAACCTACTTGAGCAAATTCAAAGCTCCTTTTTGAATACTAGAGGCCTGATGCATGAAATTCTTGCACAGGTAGGGTCATGAGGCCTGGCCAGTGATCAGGGCTGATTGGGGCCTTCTGGCTGCCATCCAGGACCTTCCTTCCATGGCTGTCAGCTGCCAGCTGGGATCTCCCTTCCCCAGCTTCTGGCTGTCAGCCAGGGCCTTCCTCCATTCCGCCCTGCCCCCTGGTGGTCAGTGCACATCATGGTGAGCCATCAAACTCCTGGTCCCCAGGTTGAACTCCCAAGGGGACAATTTGCATATTATTGAAGGTAGGCTTTTATCTATATAAATAGTATTGGTGTTGCCACAAGCACTCTTCAGCTGAGCTTTGAATTTGCTCAAGGATATCTAACATTTGAGGAACAAGAGGTAAAAATGAATAGCAGCTGAGGCCCTAAATGAGCCCAGATGTTTATGTGCAATATCCCTTTTATGGAGTTCTATGAAGTATCCCCATTTTAAAAAAATGTATATTTTATTAATTTTGGAGAGGAAGGGAGAGGGGAGCTAGAGAGAGAGAAACATAAATGATGAGAATCATTGAATGGCTGCCTCCTACACACACACTACTAGGGGTCAAACCCACAACCCACGCATGTACCCTGACTGGGAATTGAACTGACCTGGTTCATAGGTCAAAGCTCAACCATGAGCCACACTAGCCAGGCTGAAAACACTGAAACCCAGAGAGATAAGGTAACTTCAAGTCAGAGAGCTTGTAATAGATAGAGCTGTGATCTAAACTCAGGTGTGGTGCTCAACTCCATGCACTTGGACAAGTAATTTACTTATTTAAGAAACACCCATCCCCCGCACTACTGTACCTTATAGTTTAAAAATAAGGAAGCAATTAGTAAAATGCCAATTTTAAGGGCAGTTTGGGGTAAGATTTTCTGTATTTTATGCTATCCTGATATGGTTCTCCCTGTGCTAGATGCCCAGGCATCACCTCCAGATAATCCCATAGGCTACTAAGCTTTCTACTTGGTTTTCTCTTAGAGATAAGATGCCGCACATTGTCATTCATTGCGAGTGGCACCTACACCTGCACAAATGGGGCACTTCTTGACTCCCGTTGTGACTACAGCTGTTCCAGTGGCTACCACCTGGAAGGTGACCGCAGTCGAATCTGTATGGAAGATGGTCAATGGAGTGGAGGCGAGCCTGTATGTGTAGGTAAATGTTGGTTTGCTCCCAGTTGTCCTGCTACAAAGAGCCACCCTGGTATTGTATCCACAAAGGATGTGGAATCTTTACAGCAGAAAGCTTTTCTGCTTGCTATGAGGATGGCACTCTAGATACACCCTTAAAGAAGTTACCACTTCCCCTGCTACTGGAGTCTTCCCCCCAATTTCATTAAGTATCTTAAATAGAGAATGTATCTTTTACCTACCCAGTGGTGCGATATTACTTCTATGGGTTCCCTTCAGGGAAGGCAGGGGACCTATGAGTCAGCACCTGATTTCTGATCTTGGCAGACATAGATCCCCCCAAGATCCGTTGTCCCCACTCACGTGAAAAAATGGCAGAACCGGAAAAACTGACTGCTCGAGTATACTGGGACCCACCTTTGGTGAAAGATTCTGCTGATGGTACCATCACCAGGTGAGTAACAGAGCCACTTATGCCTCCCAGCAGCTTCTCCCAGGCTCTCAGGCTGAGACTACTGTGATGATATGCCTCTTATCTTAAAAGTCTCTTTCCTTAGTTATTATTTCACTCTGTCCCATGTAGGGTGACACTGCGAGGCCCTGAGCCTGGTTCTCACTTTCCCGAAGGAGAGCATGTGATTCGTTACACTGCCTATGACCGAGCCTACAACCGGGCCAGCTGCAAGTTCATTGTGAAAGTACAAGGTCCGTCCAAAAGAAGTCTTCCGTTTTCACATTGTTCATTATTCCTGCTCTGCCCTGACCCTGTATATGCTCACCACAACCCTCTCCTTTCTTTGCCTGAAACAGACACTCATGGGAGAGGGGAAAAACAAGTTCATTAAAAAGGGTTATTCAGAAAGTCTGCATGATATTGTGCATATACACATTTCAGAAACCCTGACCCCCCCAACAGGATTTTCTCATTCTCCTAAATCTAGATAAAATTCACAAAGATATTCTGTATCTCTTTTATTGGCATTCTAATCATCAAATCTAATCAGCCTGCATCCTCAGTCTTTCACCTTTACTGAAATTGGTGGTATTGCATGTCTGATTCTACCCCTTTGTTTAGTGTTGTTTAGCTTTTTTATTATAAATATAATTTATACTCAGTTTTGAACAAGTGGGAAATATAGAAATATACAAAGGAAAAAATATATTACCCCATTGTCCAGAAGCAACCTTTTAGGATTTTCTTTCTAATCTTTTATCTACACACTAGGTGCTCGGTGGACAAAATTTGTGCACTGGGGAGGGATCCCTCAACCCAGCCTGCCCACTCTCACAGAGTGGGAGCCCTCAGAGGATGCCTTACTGACTGCTTAGGCCCGCTCCCCATTAGGAGAGGAACTAAGCTGCAGTCTGGCCTCCTTTTGGGGGAGGCGACCTGCTGATCAGGGGAAGGTGCCAGCCCCATCACCCCACTGTTGCAGCCACTGCCAGTCACCGCAGGCGCCAAGGTATTTTCATCAACACGGACTCCAGTCCCTTCACCATGAAAAAATGACAACTTTCTTTAGGCATTTTCAAGATGTGTTTTTCATAGGATATGACATTCCTTTCTTTCTTTTCTTTTATCCTCACCTGAGGATATGTTTCCATTGATTGTTTTCCCCTTCCCTCTGATCACAGGCTTGGCCCCCCACCCCTCCCATCACCTGCTTGGCTTCTGCCCAAACCTAGGGGTTTAGGCTTGGGCAGGGAGACTCCACCCCTCTGATCACCTGCTCAGCCCAAGGATTAAGGTTTGGGAAGGGGGCAGTCCACCCCTCCAATCCCCAGCTCAGCTCTTGCCCCTTCCATCACTAGCTCAGGCCACCCAGGCTTTAGGTTTGGGCAGGGGGCTCCTCTGCCCCTCCAATCACCAGCTTGGCCCCTGCCCTTCTGATGGCCAGCTTGAAATGATCTGGATGGCAAGGATGTTCCAGGGATCCAGGTATGTATGCAAATTAACCACCATCTTTGTTGGGTTAATTTGCATACTTACTCTGATGGCTTTGGGTATAGCAGAGGTATGGTCAATTTACATGTTTGTTTATTATTAGGTAAGACTAGAGGCCCAGTATATGAAATTCATGCACTGGGGAGAGGTGTCCCTCAGCCCAGCATGTATCCTCTCCAATCTGGGACCTCTCGGGGGATTTTCAGCTGCCAGTTTAGGACTGATCCCACAGGGATCTGACAGTTGGACATCCCCCTCACAATCCAGACTGCTGGCTCCCAACTACTCACCTGCCTGCCTGCCTGATTGTCCCTAAATGCTTCTGCCTGACAGCCTGATTAACACCTAACTGCTCCTCTGCTGGCCTGGTAGCCCCCAATTGTCCTCCCCTGTAGGCCTGGTTGACCCTAACTGCCCTCCTCTGCTGGCCATCTTATGGCAGCCATCTTATGACCACATGGGAGTGGCCATTTTGTGACCACATAGGGGCTGCCATCTTGTGACCAGTGGGGGTGACCATCTTGTGCCAGCGTGTGATGGTCAATTTGTATATTACTTCTTTATTATATAAGATACTTTAAAAAATATAATTGAGATCATACTGTATATCCAATCTTAGATCAACCTTTTCATTATAATAATTTTCCATGTTCTTTAAAAATTCTTAAGAAATATTTTAATGACACCATAATAATCTACCTCTAAGAATATAATTTGCTTAATATTTTCCCACTGATGAATATTTAAGACTTTTTCTATTCATTTTTAATATTAAAAGTAATTTTATAAGGTGGTCATCCTTACATAAGGTGTCCACAAAGTTTGAAAACAAAAATTTATTTTACAGAATGATGACAATATTCACTTCTCCTTCCAGATTTTTTGAACACCTTTGTCTGCATTTCATATTTAATTCCTTAAGAAAATTCAGCCTTTATCCTCAGCCATTGGAAATATGAAGGTCATTAATTCTGATCATCCTAGGTCTCCTGATCTAGAAAACCCAGCATGGGCACCCACTTAACCTTTTTTTTTTCTTAAAAGAGATACCATAGCCCCTAACTTGAACTCCTCCCTGACAGTGAGACGCTGCCCAACCCTGAAACCACCACAGCATGGCTACCTCACCTGCACCTCAGCGGGGGACAACTATGGTGCCACCTGTGAATATCACTGTGATGGAGGTTATGAGCGCCAAGGGACTCCCTCCCGGGTCTGCCAGTCCAGCCGCCAGTGGTCAGGATCACCACCCATCTGTGCTCGTGAGTGAAGCCAAGGAATGAAGAGAGTGAATATATTGATCAGGGCTACTTTGAAGGATCTCCAAATGTGTATAGCATAAGGGTTCAATAGTAATATGTGTGATATGGGAATGGGAGGGTGTTCTAAAATGTGTTTATTTTAAGGGCCATTGTTATCCTTCTGAATAGTCCTATTCCAAGATGAAGGATTTAAAATTTCCAACGGTTCTTTCAGGATTTCCCCCAAGGAAAGGGAGAAACAACCAAAAAGGGTTATCCTGAAAGACTGAAATTCCTCAAGATATAATTACTCATGCTGGGGTGAAGGAGAAGGCCCTACTCTGACTGGCCATCTGTTTCTGCCCTAGCTATGAAGATTAATGTTAATGTCAACTCAGCTACTGGCCTTCTGGATCAGTTTTATGAGAAACAACGCCTCCTCATCATCTCAGCTCCTGATCCCTCCAACCGATATTACAAAATGCAGATCTCTATGCTACAGGTGAGACCTAATCCCTTAATTCAGGCTTATCTCCATTATATATCCCCTAACCCGACCCCATTATTCCCTTACCTCTTCTAAATCAAAGAGTTGCTTTTTATACAGCACAAACTCTATTTCCTTAAACTCTTTGTGGACATTTGATCAGTTTTACTCTATACAAACTTATCACACTTTATTAGTAAAAACTGCTATGTTTTTACTAAAAAGGTATTGAGTACTCTGGAATGGTGGGTGTGACTTACAGAAGGTTTGGTAAGGGTAGGAAGGGAGTGTGGTAGAGCACTATACAGAGACTTGTAAGATAAGTATGATTAAATGTAAATGTTGGGATGAAATTATGTTTATGTTTTCAAGGAATAATAGCATTAACAAATACTTATATGGTAAGTGCTATATAGGTACCAGTTATAGAAGTATGTGTTTTACGTATATTCATTTATTGTCAAAACAACCCTTTAGAGATAGATACTATTACTATCCTAATTTTAAAGGTAAGGAAACTGAGGCATAGAGAGGTTAAAGATTTGCCCAAGATCACCAGATAATAATTGACTAGGCCAGGATTGAACTCAGTCTGACTCAAGGATCTGTGCTCTTAACCAATACTTGTAACAGGAGAGAAAGACAAGTATTGTGATATCTCAAAGTAAAATGAGGGACTAGCACAATGATTTTTTAACACACTATGAGATACCTAACCAAAAGCACTTATGAGGAAGGAAAGGTGAATAGGACAGAATAGATATGAACATTGGGATTTATAAAGAAAATAGACTAGGTTCTTGAAGAGAACTCAGGGTATGATGACAAGACTAAGGAGCTACAAATGTGTTTTCTAAAGGTTGAATCTTACAAGTTGCCAAGAGGCCCATGATGGAAGCAGCTTTATAAAAAGCATGACCCTGGGTATCTAGACCAATAAGGACCAAGTTCCTCCAGGGATTAAAAAAAAAAAAAAAAAAAAAAAAAAAAGGAGGGGGGCAAACAAAGGGAATACCTCAGCTTGAACAGAAATCAGGAAAAAGAACTGGAACCAGCCAATGAGGACAGTGATTCAGAAAGTTAGGACTAGAGGAGTAGCCCAAAGATTAGAGGAGGGGTTGGGCATCAGGGAGTGTTCACTGAGGCTTTTAAACCTTTAAACGTCACCCCAGGTGACTGGCTCAGGTGTTAACCCTACAAGACAATGCAGAATAAAGAGCCAGGATAGAATTACAGTGTGTACTGCTGGGTGTGAGAAAGGCAACAAAGGGTAATGAGAAGAACATTGGCACTATTTCTGAGAAATCCTGGAGACTGAAATTGTAGCTTAGTGGTAGGGAGCACACACTTGGGTAGGCAGTAGTAGCCCTAAGTTTAAATCTTGGCTTAGAATTTTACTGTCATGCAAGTTTGAGCAAGCTACTTTTTTACTCTACAGTAGGGGTGTCGAACTCAATCAGAGAAGGGGCCAAAATCTAAAATCCAGCCTAAATCGCGGGCCGAATGGTTTACTGAACAGTCATAAACTGTCATTGTGATGGAAACGCAGCGGAGTGCAGTGATGACAGCGCGGTGCGGGCCACATTGCAAGGCCTGGCGGGACGGATTTGGCCCGCGGGCCTTGTGTTTGACACATGTGCTCTACAGAATATCACCTGCTTTGTTAGGGGTATTATGAGGACTGAGTTAAATTATGCCTGCAAAGCATTAGGTATGTGTATTCAGTAAATAATAGACATTATTATCATATCATAATTTCTTTCCATTAAGAACCTATGTAGCTTCCAATTGTAATATAAATAAGTTATGGTGACTATAGTTAATAATACTGCATTGTATATTTTAAAGTTGCAAAGAGAGACTTGTAAAATAAGTATGATTAAATGTAAATCCCAACATTTACATTTAATCATACTTATTTTACATTGCAAAGAAAGTAGATCTTAACAATTTTTATTACAAGAAAAAAATATAACTATGTATGGTGATAGACGTTAACTAGATTTCTTGTGGTGATAATTTCATAATGTATGCAAACATTGAATGATTATGTGATATAATTGAAATTAATATTATGTCAATTAGTATCTCAATTTAAAAAAAGAACCTACATAGTTTAAAACCTATAAAAAATGAAGAAAGTAGGGATTGTGTTCCTGCAATTTATAAATTATATTTCTCTTTTCTACCCCACATGTTATAACCAGCTTCATGCACTTCATTAGAATAAAGAAAACACTGTTAGGGCAAGTAACTCAGGAATGACAGAGGGAAGAGGTTGTAGACTCCATGTGATGGTTGGGAGAGAAGGCCCTCCTTTCCCACACTGCCTCACTGTGGTCCCTGGAAGAATCAGCCAAGTAGTCTTAGGTTTGAGTCTGCGACCCTATTTCATAAAACCTTCTCTCCCCTCCCAGCAATCCACCTGTGGACTGGACCTGCGGCATGTGACCATCATCGAGCTGGTGGGGCAGCCACCTCAGGAGGTGGGGCGTATCAGGGAGCAACAGCTGTCAGCCAACATCATCGAAGAGCTCAGGTCCAGGCTGAAGGGTCACAGGGAAGGGGTGGACAGAAACCCTAGGTGAAACACTGGCAATAGGAGGGTGTGAGAGAATCAACTATACTACTCTCTTGGGGCACTACCATGTTTGAACTCTTTGGGTATATTAATTAAGATCAGAGTGGCCAGATATAAGAATCAAATGGAGGGAGGCTTAAAATACAGAGAACCAGACCCTATCCCAAACCATCTCAGGACTGTCCTTTTGTTTTCAATAAGGCATGTCCCCTGACTCTGAAGTACAGCCAGAGCTGAGTAATAGACCCAAACATGACTCAGATAGGCCTCTGATCCTTTTGCCTTATGTCCTCATCTCTTTACCTTCAGTCTCCAATAGGTAGTGAAATCTGAATCATATCTATCTGCCCTTGAGGGAAGAACAGGCAGTAGAAGTTGACTTTTCTCATCTATCCATTATCACCCTTCTGATGCCTCCATATATGCTCAGAGCCAATAAAGCCAACACTGCTCTTTTTTCTAGATACACTACCTGCCTCTAGGTCTCATTCTCAGTAGGGACAGAAAGATTCAGTCCCAGGTAGGGGAGAAACTGAGAAACACTCAGAGGAAAGAGACTGTAGACTTGCAGCTACAGATGGAAGAGTTGATCAGGTGAATTGATCTACCTATGAGCTATGATGTATGGCTGTGCAAGTATGCCCAGCTCAATTCTAGAAAACACTAGTCATATCATAGTGCATGTGACTGGTGCTCCTTGGACTTATTCTATGCAGCCCACATTGCTATATGAGGGAAACATCACCTAGTAATAATGTAGCTGCTCCATCCACAGTGAGGAAGGGACAGCTTAGCGGAGCCAGACATACAAAATCAGAAGTGCAGGGTCAGAGCAGAGAAAAATAAAGGGGTCTGAGATAGGTAGTAGAGAGGATGGGGACAAGGACTCAGTTGGGGAAGGAATTAATCCATCAGAGGAGCTATAAAAGGTCAGAGGGTAATAAAGCCAGGTGGAATGAAGCCCAGACAAGATCTCACACCTACCTGGACTCCTCTCTCTAGGCAATTCCAGCACCTCACTCGCTCCTACTTCAATATGGTGTTGATTGACAAGCAGGGAATTGACCGGGAACGCTATGTGGAACCTGTCACCCCAGAGGAAATCTTCACGTTCATTGATGACTACCTACTGAGCAATCAGGAACTGACCCAGCGTCGGGAACAAAGGGATGTATGCGAGTAAACTTGAGCCAGGGCATGGTTGAGATCAAAGGAAAAGCTCTGTTAGTTGGCTGAAACCAGGGTCTAATAAAAGGAGGAAATGGTTTCCCATAATTCTAGGCACAAGACTCTGAAGTAGGTGAGGTTCACCAATATTGGGACATTTCCAGGAACCTTTTTAGGGCTGCATAATAGTTTCCCTAAGCAAGTTTCTGCTTTAAGTAGCACTGGAGAAGCATAAGAAGCTACATAGGGACTGAGGAGAGACCCTGGGCAGTGGGTTGGTGGTAGATTTTCCTTTCCTAACCTGGGGTTCTCCCAGCTCTTCAAAGTCTTCTAGATAAGTAAATCCTAAATTCATTCACTAACTAACTGTCAGTTTTGTGTGATATTTTTTGTTGTTTTGTTTCTACATTAGTAAGCATTTAATAATATTGTTTGGTCATTTTTAAAACCACTATTCTTTGTGACACCTTTCTATATTGGGGCTTACTAGAATACACAAACGTTTAAATTAGTACTTTGAAACAACAAGTTTGAGGTTGTGTTGCAACATGTATAACATGTTTTCTTGAAGGGCCATCTGGATTAGATGGACTGCCAGGTTTTAAGGAGACCCCTGGCGACACCAGACTACCTTGCAACCAGAACAATGATGAGAGGTTTTATTTTCAACTGGTACAGTCAAACCACAGCAATTCCTTCTTGTCCTGGAGGAACAAAGCTGCTCTATAGTGGGTTTTCCCTTCTTTTTGTTCAAGGAAATGAACTAGCTCATGGACAAGATCTGGATAATGTCCCAGCCCCAGTCCTCAGTTACTTGGTTCCAAAATCAGATTGTTAATTTTTATGGCATAGGGTACTTTTCTCTGAAGTTAAGTATAAACAACCTTGGGTATTTTATAGCACTCTTTTAAAGAGAGTAGCCCTGGCTGGCTTGGCTCAGTGGATAGAGTGTCGGCCTGCAGACTGAGGGGGCCTGGGTCAATTCTTGTCAAGTGCACAGGCCCAGGTTGTGGGCTCAATCCCCACTGGGGGGCGTGTGGGAGACAGCCAATCAATGATTCTCTTTCATCACTTATGTTTCTATCTCTCCCTCCCTCTCCCTCTGAAATCAATAAGAGAGAGAGAGAGAGAGAGAGAGAGAGAGAGAGAGAGAGAGAACCGAAACCGGTTTGGCTTAGTGGATAGAGCATTGGTCTGCGGACTGAAGGGTCCCAGGTTCAATTCTGGTCAAGGGCATGTACATTAGTTGCGGGCACATCTCCGGTGGGGGGCTTGCAGGAGGCAGCTGGTTGATGTTTCTAGCTCTCTATCCTTCTCCCTTCCTCTCTGTGAAAAATCAATAAAATGTATTTAAAAATAAAAATAAAATAAATTTAAAAAGTGAGCAAACAAAACATTGGCTTCATGTATACGTTTTCTTCTGGAATGTAAAATATTTTTAATTAAAGTATAATTGATATACAATGTAATATTAGTTTCAGGTGTATAACATAGTTAGATTTCACACTTATTCACCTTACAAAGTGATCACCACAAAAAGTCCACTAACTATATCACCATAAAAAGTTATTGTAATATTATTGATTGTATTCCCTATGCTGTACTTTACATTCCGGTGACTCCTTTGTAAGTTTGTATCTCTTAGTAATCCCTTCACCTTTTGCCCATACCCCCCACCACCCAACCCTCAGGCAACTCTCAGGTTTTTTGTATCTATGAATCTGTTTTTTGTTTAGTTCTGTAGATCCCACACAAAAGTTGACTGATATAGTATTTGTTTTTCTCTGACTTATTTCACTTAGCATAATATCCTCTAGGTCTATCCATGTTGTCACAAGTGGCAAGATTTCATTCCTTTTCATGACTGAATAAATATTCCAGTGTGTTTAAGTTGTATGTTTGTGTGTATACACATATATATTAACTTCTTTATCCATTCATCTATTGATGAATATCTAGGTTTCTTCCATATTTTGGCTATTGGAAATAATATTTATCTTTCCTAGTGAGATTTTTTTTCCATTGATTTCCTTACTAGCGGCCCAGTGTATGAGATTTGTGCACTGGGGGCAGTCCTTCAGCGTGGCCTGAGCCCTCTTGCAGTCCAGGATCCCTTGGGGGATGTCCTTCTGCAGCAGCGGAGGCAGGAGAGGCTCCTGCCACCAGCCACCACCGCTGGGCTCACCAGCCCTGAGCCCAGCTTCTGACTGAGTGGTGTTCCCCCTGTGGGAGCGCACTGACCACCAGGGGGCAGCTCCTTCATCGAGCATCTGCCCTCTGGTGGTCAGTGCACATAATAGCGACCAGTTGTTCTGCTGTTCATTCGATTTTCATATTATGCTTTTATTATATAGACTTTCTAGTTTGGGCTTTCTTTTCCAATTAAATAATTCCCTTTAACATTTCCTGTAATGCCAATTTAGTGGTGATGAACTCCTTTAGCTTTTGCTTGTTTGGGAAAAATTTCATCTTTCCTTCAATTGTGAATGATAACCTTGCTGGATAGAGTATTCTTGGTTGTAGGTTTTGTCCTTTCATCGTGTTGAATACATTGTGCCACTCCCTTCTGGCCTGCAAACTTTCTGTTGAAAGTTACCTGATAGTCTTATGGGCATTTCTTTGAAAGTAACTTGTTATGTTTCTCTTGCTACTTTTAAAATTCTCTCTTTAACGTTTAACAATGTAATTGTAATGTGTCTTGGTGTGGGTCTCCTTGTGTTCATCTTGTTTAGGACTTTCCATGCTTCCTGGACTTGTAAGTCTATTTCTTCCACCAGGGAAGATACAATGTTTGTCATTGTATCTTCAAATGGATTTTCAATATCTGCTCGCTCTCTCTTCTCCTTCTGACACCTCTATGATACAAATATTATATGTTTTAAGTTGTCCCAGAGGCTCCATACACTATATTCATATTTTTTCTTTTTTTTCCTTTTTGTTCTTCTGATTGTGTGTGTGTATGTGTGTGTGTGTGTGTGTGTTGTTTCCTCATAATCTAAGTTGCTGATTTGATTCTCTGCATCCTCTATACTATTGTTGATTCCCTATAAATTATTCTTTATTTCAGTTAGTGTATCCTTCATTTTTGACTGATGTTTTTTCATGTCTTTGAAATTCTCACTGAGAACCTTTAAATTATCACTAAATCCCTGAAGCTCTCATTAAGTTCTTGAGCATACTTATAACAGTTGTTTTTGAACTCTGTATCTAGTAGTTTCCTTGATTCCATTTCATTAAATTATTTTTCTATAAATTTCTTTTGTTCTTTCATTTGTGACATGTTTCTTTGTCTCTGAATTTTTGCTGCTTCTCTGTGTTTGTTTCTATGTATTAGAGTTGCTATGTCTCCTGGAATTGGTAGAGTGGCCTTGTGTAATAGGTGTCCTATAGGGCCCAATGGCTCAGCCTCCCCAGTCACCTGAGCTGGGCAGTCTAAGTGCGCCCCTGTGTGGGCTGTGTGCACTGTCTTGTTATAGTTGAGCCTTGAATGCTGTTGGCAACAATGGAAGGAATTGACCTCCAGACCAATTGGCAGTGAGGACCAGCTGTGACTACAGAAAAAGAGCTGCTGTGCAGGAAATACCCTTATTGGGAAGGACTTGCTTTAGTGGGGCTTTGGTGCTCACTAAGTCTGCCCCATGAGTATGTCACTTGTGGATGTGTAGAGTTATAATCTGGAGTTATCTGAAGCTGTCCACCAGGTGCATTGGCTCTGGGGCTTCCTAAAGGTTCAAAGTCAGCCACTGCCTGTGCCCTGCACAAGCCACAAAGTGATCTGCAAATGGTTGCTACCTGTGTTGGGCTTAAAGGTGCCCAGGAGAGTCCAAACTGTGAACCAAGGCAGGCTTCTGTTGGTGCTGGGCGTGGGACTGTTTATCAAGTGATATGGGGCATGCTGAGTCCAGCTGCTACTTATTTGAGAGATTTTAGGAGAGTGTGAAACCTGATCCAGGACTGGCCATTCATATGGAAAAGCCACTGCAAACACCTTGGATAGGGCAGCAAATTGGGTGAAGCAGGGTCTCAGGGAATCATCAGGGCAGGGCAAACAGTGTGAGGCAGATTGATGGCGAATTAGATATGGTGTTTGCCACTCAGCTATGTGGTGGAGAAAGTTTCAGCATAGAAACAATGACCTCTGCAAGAACTTTTGCCAGAGAAAGTTGCCCCTGAGTTCTTGCCTTGATAGCAGACAATTTAGTTCCTCTCCATATGTCCCTGGATCCTTTCAAGCTGCTGCCTAAGCGCTGGAGCTCAGAGGGAGTCCATATGCTGGTCCTTTAAGAGGAACTGTCCTGGTCTCTAGCAACCTCTGTGTCACTAAGCCACAGACCCTGCTGGATTTTGTAGCCCGAAATTACAGGGACTTCTTTTTCCAGCACTGGAACCCTGGGCTGAGGGTCTGGTGTGCGGCTGGGATATCCACAGCCAAGATATCCCTCCCAATTAAGAAAACACCACACATGGGTGTCAGACCAGCCCAGTCCAGCCTCCACCCCTCCTACCAGTCTCAATGTGCTTTCATCTTTAATTCTCTAGTTGTAGGTATTCCATTCAGCCAGATTTCAGGTGGTTCTGAATGATGGCTCTTCTGTATTTTAGTTGTAATTTTGATGTGGTTGTGGGAGGATGCAAGTACCACATTTACCTACCCCACTAGGTGTAGCAGATCAGGAGCCATTTGAAAGGGTGCTAGACTGGGTGGTTTCTCAGGATCAGACCAAGGAGGGGTGAACTGTGTTAGCAAGCTTAATGGAGAAATAGTTCCTGCCAGTGTCTGACCAACTAGGTTAAAGAAAGGGGAGAAACTGTCACCCACCAGCAACTCTGACTCAGGAGAAAGTTCTGACAGATCAGTGTATCTCCAGTACATACCCTAAAATTAGTCTCAGTGTATCACCTTTACTTATGACCTAAGTTCTTTTTAAACTTCTGCCTCTGTGCCAGGACTCAGAAAGAGCACAACCTGGGTTTCCTACAGCCCTTCGGCTCTCCAAGACATAAGCCCCTAGATTTTTCAAAGCCAGTTGTTATGGTGGTTCCTCTTCCTAGTGCTGTTCCCAAGCTAGGGCTTGGACCACTCACTCTCTAGGACAACCTCCACTGTTGTGATACTCCTCCCATTTGTGAGTCACCATATGGAGAATGGAGGGTAGATAGATTATGACTAGACTTAGACTGTACCCCATCTACTCATTTCAATGTGTCTTTTTCTTTATATCCGTAGTTGTAGAAAATCTTTTCTGCTAGTCTTCAGGCCATTGTCATAGATAGCTGTTCTATATGTAGTTGTAGTTTTTGTGTCAATGTGAGGAGGTAAGCTCAGGATCTTCCTACTCCACCATCCTGAACTCAAAGCCAG